TGGGTGCAAGGGGTGCCCTCCAAGACCTGATTTCCACCACACACTCATGGCACTATCAAGCAGACAGCCTTCCACATTCCCAACCTCTTCACACGAGTGCACGGACCCGTCACCACCCAATTTTCCGCTGTCCACGCACCAGTGTGCACTGTCCGGTAGCGGCCCCCATACTGCGTGGTGACCTCGGGGCCCAGGCAGGCGGCGCTCAGCGTGGGCTGGCGGCTAAGGCCCCGGTATAGCGCCGCCGCCTCCTCGGGCTCGCTTAGCAGCACCTGCGCAGGAGACACACCAGGATCAGACTCGGCCCGGGTTGCACGGACCACAGGGGCCGCGGGCCGAGCCCTCACCTGACGCTCCATAGTCTCTGCAACACAGTCCTATGCCCCGGAAGTGAGCCTTAGGATGGGCGGAGCCTGGGGAGGCCCTGTCAATTTCCGCTATATCCGGGAGGCGACCTGGGAGGGAGGAGACTTTGACGAATGGGCAAGGACCGTTGAAAGCGGGCGGGGCCTTTGTAGTAAGAAGGCGGAGCCTGTGAGTCATAGAAAGGTGCGGGCTGGAACCTAGAGGAAAGGAGCTGGCCTTTTAGGTGTGGACTAGGCAAATGGAGGCGGGGTTTGTGGCTCAAGTCCCAGACCTGTTAACCGAGACAGGGAGGCAGTGGGATCGCCGAGGAGAGAAGGCCACCACGGAATATGGGAGCGGGTGTCCTGGAGTGGCGAGATCTATGAGGAGCGAAGTGGGTTAGGGGCTGGAGCCAGAGGCGAAAAAAGCGCGGTCGGACCTTAGTGATCCCCAGAGCATTCGGAGGGCGGGGCCTGAGAGGAACGTAGACCTATGAATGTTGGAGGATGAGGGGCGGGGAAACCCCGAGGACTCTGGATCTGGCAGGAGCTGCGGCCTGCATACGCGTGGGTCTTTTGCGGCTCTGTGACTGGCGGACTGGGGTCCCTCCCCATCTACTATGAGGCAGACATTCACCCTGCACTGGAGGGTCCGAGGCAGGTGGAAGGGAAAGGCGCAGGTCCCGGAGGGACCTTATGGCGTGGGGGCAAAGAGGGGTAGATGTTGAGTTTTCAGGGTGCTGTCTCGGCTTATCGGTCACCAGGACTACCCCGAGAGCTATCTGTCCCTGCAGCCCTCACCCGCCCTTCTCAGTGGCGCCTTGCTGGGGATCTTGAGCGGATTAGCCACAGCCCTCTTCCCCAGGAGCAGAGGTCAGACTCCACCCAGGACCAAAGAGCTTCCTGTGTGTGGAAAGAAGAGCCTGGGTAGGCGGGCCCCCTATGCACTTGGCACAGGACTGGTTTGGCTAAGGTGGCAATGGAGGGCAGGAGAGCCTGGGCAACACCAACCCAGAAGGATGCCCCTCCTTCCTATACCCTGCAGTCTGGCTCCCTGCACCCTGCCTTTGCCTTTGAGTGTTACCCATTTGAGGCAAAATTGATCTTATTTACCTGTGTTTTCAAATTTTCTAGTCACTCCTGATCATCTGGGGAAAGTCTGGCAGCCATGATTAGTTCTGGGATTGGAGTAGGCTGAGCAAGGCAGGCAGGTGTAAGGCTTATTGGCAGCACCTGCTCACCTGCCTCCTGGGAGCCAGGCCCCAAAAAGCTGTATGTGCGACATGGAAACCCATTATCTCAATAGCCTGTTCAGTGAACTGCTTGCCTCTGGTCTATGTTTGGGACCCATCTTTGTGGCAGGCCCATTGGCTTGGTGTGGACTCAGCCCCCAGTCATGCAGCACTTCTGAAATTTTGTCCTTTCATACTTTTCCTTTAATGGTGAACAAAATTGTCACAAATTTGGGGATTTACTCCTTTGACTAAGCCTTCTCACTTTAGAAACCAGTCCACAGACAATCTGTAGGTTGTTTATATCAAGTCCTTTTATTCTGATACCACAGAAATACCTTGTCACAATACAGGGGGAGGGACACTGAAGTACCACGAGTTCTCACAGAGCACAGGAGGACAGCACACAATTCACAAGGTCATGTGGAGGACTTGGTCATTGCACTTACAACTGTAAACTTGTTTGACTTTGTACAGCACTCTTCCCCTCAAGTAAAGGAGAGAGGAAAGAAAGGGAGGGAGGAGAGAAGGAAAAGCAAAAACAAGACATGGAAGCTAGAGGAGAAGGTGGTGAGTGGCCACCACTCTCCAGGATACTGCACTTGGAGAGAAGCCGATTTGACTGCAGAGGCTGAATGAGGCAGACACACACACACACACACACACACACACACAACACGTTCCCATGCATACACACACAATGTCATGACTTGCATGGCTCTCCAGTACCAACCCAATGCACATGACAGCAGGGCACTGGCACACAGGGAGACAGAGATGGCATCTCCAAGGAGTTTCATTTAATTAGGCCTGTCCCTCTGCCTCTGACTGAGTCCATGATTACAAGTATTTACAGCATGGGTAGGGTAAAGGAGAAGGGAAGTGCCCAGTAGGGCAGACTGCAATGTCATGGCAAAGGATCTGTTTGAAAAACTCTCCACAGGTTCTAGAAGACAGGCCAGAGTTGTTGCCCTTGCTGCTCTTTCATTATAGGCCTTGGGACTACCTGTTCTGCCAAAGGACTAAGAAGATGGTGGTAAGGGGAGGCTGTCACTATGAAATGAGTGCATGTGGGCCCTCAAGTAGGCATAGGAAAGTACCCTTGTTTATGATGCTAGGGAAAGGGAAATGGAAAAGTTCTGGGATGTACCCCAGAGACTTATTGCCCATTTGAAGGTGTACCTATTGCTCTCCGCTCCCAAGGCACCAAATGCTGGTCTGGTTTCATTGTCCCAAGAGTCACAGCTGTATCCACACAAGGGCCAGTCCACCCATGACCCAGAGACAGTCATCTTCACAGAGGGGCAGTGATGTGTCCTATGGGTACGGTGGGGGATGAGGAGAGACAGATGTCAGAAATTTCAAACTGAGAGGGTTTAGCCAGGAAGGAAATTTGCTGAAAAGTCAATACTTCAGAGCCTGAAGTGGATCCTGCCAGAGGTAGATCTGCTGACATCTCCCTGCATGTGCTCTGCAATTATTCCCATGACCTGACCATTAGTGGAAAGAGTTACTGCCTTAGTCTCTTAAGTATCCAGCCACTAGACACATCCCACATAAACATGGTCCTGGGGGACTAGAGTTATTAGATGATGGCCTCCCTCAGCCCTTTTTCAGATGGTCTCACACAGCTCAGGCCTGATCTCTGAGATGAGACAGCTGTTCCATAGCATGGAAAAGGCCAAATCCCAGGAGGCCAAGGGCCTTAGATTCAACACAGAGGTGGGCAGCTTCTTGACCCATCCAGGATCTTCCTCTAAAGGGGTGTGTAGGCCTTACAGGAAAGCATGAGAGATGTGAGCCCCTGAGAAATGCACGGTACAAGCCTGCCCCACTCCTGCCCCACTCAATGGAGGAAAAGCTAATGACAGTAGGATACTTGGGCTTCAGAAAAGACAGCAGACAGAGGAAGGCAGGTCCTGGGGACAGATGCAGAGAGGCCTATACAGGACCTTCCCTAAGTTTTGAGAAGCTTCCCAAGAAGCTCCCTTTGAACCATTGTTTATGTGAACAGTTCACCTGCTCCAGATGATATTTTTACCCAAAGGCCACAAGTACCCAAAGAGCAGCTCTTCTTGAGCACCCTTTGATCCTAGGATTCTAGCCTAGATTTCCTGGCTCGCAGTCCTTTGAAACTTCTACTCACAAAAGAGAGTCATCAAGCAGGTCAGTTAGGACCTGGGGACTCCAGGGTACAGCCAGACTTTCTGCTCTTGGCCTCTGCCTCTCTGGCCATGGATGCAGCCCAGCTCTGCCCTTAGCAGTGCCCCACTGGGAAGAGACCGTCAGATTCCTCTAGTTCAAGGCTGAGTTAGGAGGGGAGAAAAACTTACACATAGAAATCCTACAGCAAGCTTTCTGAACATTCACACACATACATCCTGTGCAGGCTCCTATCATTGTGTCTACTCCGGGGTTTCATTTCTTCCTGCTGTCTTGGACACAGAAAACTGCAGTGTGTGGCCTCATATTGCCTGCCCCACAATCTGCCACACTCAGGCAACAATTCTGGCAGGTCTTCACTAGCTTGTGCAGAAGTCAGCTAGAAGTGCTCCTAAAGGAGAGGTTTGGAGGCAAAAAGAACTCCAAGCAAGAGGGTCAAGCATTTAAAATGGATGAAATCGTGCAAAGAGGCTGCGAGCTGTGCATGCTCCACTGCGGGACAGGCGGTGACTCACCTGGCAGCAGCAAGTCCTGCCACAGGTCAAACATGCCACAGACTGAGAATTTCACACACACAAGGTGGGAGCAGGGGCAGGTGGGGTGGTGATATATCTATCCAGTTTCTCAACTGCATGTTTGCAATTAATTCCTTATAAGTAACATGGAATTTATTAAATATTAACAGTTGTCTTTGAGGGTTTATATTTCATTGCATAGAAGGTTAGAGATGAGACTTGTGGCTGTGCCCAAGCTAAGGAAAGGGCTTTGGGGAGGAATGCCACCCATTCCACCAGGTGGACAGATGGTGCCAACTCCCCCATATAGGGCTCTGGGCCTTTCCCTTGGCTGACAGAATCCCTGGCCCCTCTGCTCTGAGCACACCCACTGGTGATGGCTTAAGAAGGACTAGAATTGCACAGTAAACAGAGGCGGGTTGAGGGGCCTCCCTAGACCTCGCCCTGGGGTTGTGCTCTTGGTGGCCTGCTGCCCACTATTGCTTCTAAGTCAACATTCTCCCTGTGTTGAGCAGGGGCAGAGCAGAGAGGAAACCAAACCATCAGTCACAAGGTGGTGGTAGAGGGGAGAGAATGGTGGGCAAAGAAAAGAGAGAAAGGGAGAAAAAGAAAAAAAAGAAAAATGTTTATGAGGTATACACATAAATCAAACTGGAATGATTAAGGCTGTTCTTGAAATCAAAAGAAATCCCCAGGTGTAAGGATGAGGAGCCGGCTGGTCAAGACAATGGCGGTACCGCTGGGATGCTCACGATGGCTGAGGGGATGGCTTTAAGATGATGGCTGGCGTGCCTAGCACACTGCCACCCATGGGCTGGGAGAAGCCTCAGCCAGTGCCCACGCTGCTTTTCGGTGCTATGGCCTCTTAGTTCAGCAATGAGACAGTGTTAGGTCCTAATGTTTATAAAGTTCTCCCAACCCCATGCTGGCCACATAGAGGTCTGCTTCAATGTCACCCAGAGGGCAGGGTGAAGGGGGCAGGACCCTGTGGCTACAGAGGGATCTGGGCCAGCTGGAATGTGAAGGAAATGGAGCCCAGGGCCCCCAGCCCTCAGTCAAAGCCCCTCTCCAAGGCTGTGGAAAAACTTCTGGCATCTCAGAGGGAGGGTAGTGTGTAACCAAACTCTGTGTATAACGCATTGGAAGCCTGGCTGGCCTGGCTGCAGAGAGGTGGCTGTGGGAACAACAGCAGCTGAGGAAGCAGGGTTCTGGAGAGGGCTCCTTCATTCCAACGACTGCTGGCCTGCAGAAGGTAGGGTCTCTGGAAAGACAGTCAAAGATCCCCTGGGCCAGTGGTCCCACTTTGTCCAGCAGATGCTTCACCCAGGCAGCTACTGTAAGAAAACATCCCATCCTCAACTGAGGCCTGCCCACTGCAGTCCACCTGGTGTGAATCTTTGGGCCAAGGGTTTGCCAGATTGTAGATGCTTGAAAAAAAGAAAAGGAGAAAGGAAGAGAGAGAAAAAAAAAAGAAAGGTTTTTGTCAAGAGTTGCCTCCCACCCTCACATCCTCTCAGAAACTGGCCACGTACCAATGGTAGGTTCCTCCTCACCCAAGGGATCCATACCACTAAGGGATGGAAAGATAGGTGCTTGGACAGATTTGAGGCCAGGAGGGACAGAAAGAAGAATCAAGTCTGCCAGGAAGAGACATAATTTTGTTTTTCTTTTGAGATGGGTTCTCACTGTGTTGCCCAGGCTCCCTCAAAGTGACCTTACTGCTTGCTGGGCCTGCCATAAACACCGCACACATGCCTCCATATTATTAATCCTAGAGTGGCAAAGGAGAAGGAGGAAAAGGACTCGGGGCTACGAGGTGATGAGAGGTGGTTTCTGGCTATTCACAGAGCAGCACCAACAGACAGGCTAACACTCCCACCTCCCCCAACCCAATCCTGGATAAGATACTTCCTCTTTCCTCTGCAGAAGCAGGGCCAAAACCAGGGTCAGAGTAGGCTCCAGGAGGTAGCATCCCATCCTGCCTTAACTATTGCAGCCCAGACAGAGCCAGGGTTCCCTCTTCTACTCTCTCTCTAGGCTGAAATAATCTGGGGCTGAGACTGCCTGGCCAATGACCCCGGTTTCCTCTATGTCCTTTCCGGTCTGCTTCTCTATACATTCTATGCTTTCATTTTGTGAGTTACCACCTCAGCCTACGAAGCCAACAGTGTCTTGTCTTCATGCCCGAAGTTGCTAAGCTCTGCAGGTTTGGGGACTCTAGCAAAGGCACCAGTACCAGGTGTCAGGGAAGGGACATGTCTCCCAGAGGATCCATGGGTCTCCCTGTCCTCCAATACAGCTTTGGACTCAGTGCCTAGCATATACATCATGGTTGATTTCAAGGCCCTTCCCCAAGGGTACTACCTGACTCATTTGCCACCATTTCAGTCAGCACACTGGCCCGGTCTCCCCAGGGGGCTGCTGGGCCCATCCCAGCTGAAGGAAGCACACCAGATCCTTTCTAGTTCACACTTAAAGGGACTGGGCCCTTCACACCCTCTTTGGCCTATCTGCCTTGGTCCTGACACTCACTGTTATACGCAGAGTCCAGAGCTGTGCCAGGCCTTTAACTCCAGAGATTTTTCCACAGCAATGATACCATCTCTCTTCACATCTTCAAGGGCCTGTGGAGCATTTACAGAGGAGGGTTGCATCAGAGGGCCCTACCTACAATCTAAGCCAGTCCAAAGCTATGAGAGTGCTGCAGAGAGATAAGGGATAGTAAGAAAGACAAAGGAACACTGGCCCTGGGCTTCCCTTTGCTGGGGACCTCTACTGAGTTGGCCTCATTTCAAAGCCTCTATGAACAGTATCTCTCTTCTTTTTCCTTTCCTTACCACACTCCCAGGAGAGCACAGTGAAGCTCTGGACACACCACCAACTGAAGACTATACTTATCCCAGAGGACCCACCCGTTAGGACTTAAGAGATCCCAGACCCTAGTAACTCAGGCTTTTCCTAGGACAGATCAGATACAGGCCACTTATACTCACCCTGCTGGGCATGGTCACCAGAATGAGGAAAATTTTTTGCCAAAAGCAGAGACAGCTATGACATAGAAAGAGGAAAGAGACATTAGGAATTGGGTCATACCTCTCTTAATCAAGGCCATTGGGTACAGTGAAGCCAAGCTCAGCCAGAGGGACAGAGACTGCCCAGAAAACCACTGACCAATAGCTTGTAGGCCATTTGGTTGACCTGTGCCTAGGTGCTAGCTTGGAACCATCTCACAGACCTGGCCTCCACCAGAGTAAGGCCCAGTCATCCAGCATGGACCTGACCTCAGGAAGTGCATACCTTCAGTCAGCTTGCCGGCTTGCTCTGCTGCCCCACCAGGGAGGATCTTGGACAGCATGCTCTCCCCTTCGGCACCTGGCTGGCCAGCAGGAGCCCCTGGTGTCCCTCCAGGCCTGGATCCAGCCTTCATACCTATGGAGAAAGAAACCACCATCATGAGTCATGCCTTGGCCTGACTGTTCAGGGCATAAAGGAAAGAGTAGCCATGAGGGACCCTGAACACAGGTAGTGAGAAGGCTAGAGGAATAAAAGTAAGAATAGGAAGAGAAGGTGTGGGAGGAAGCAGGATAAAAGGAGGTTGAGAAAGGATAAAGTGAAGAAAAGGCAGAGGAGGATGAGAAGGTAGAGAAGAAGAGGAAAGAGATGGAAGGAGAGAGTAGAAGCCATGTTCCTGGCCCTGTGCTCACCAGTACCTCCCAAGTTCTCTGCCTAGAGCTCCTTGAGTCCTCAGGCCCCAGTGCTGGTGACCCCATTGGCTCAATCTAACCCCAGGCTCAATTTCTGCTGGGAGGTCTGCAGCCCACTAAGCACCTTCTTAGGGATTAGTGAGAACATGCAGTAGTGAGAGTCAGGGTATAGGTGTAGAGAGAGAACAGTCTGGGTGTTGTGGGCATAGATGAGGGTGCAAAGGGGTAGACTTACCTGAAGGTCCAGGTCCTGGTGTTGGCTGGGCCTGAGGAGCCCTCCCCTGTTGGGGTGCTTTGGCTGTCCCTTTAAGGCCATTTGCCTGTTCTGCCCGTGGCTGGAACACAGAACCTATAGGTGAGATCCTGCACATCAACCCTGCCCACACCCTGCCTGGAACCAAGGAGGTATCCAAGCTTTAGTTGTAGCATCTGTCTTGGGTGGGACTGATGCACAAGAGCCCACTTACCGGTCCTGCTGGCTGGGGACCTGGGGCTGTCATGGGACCTGGCTGAGGCTTCCCTGCTGGCTGGCTGGCAGCAGGGACTGAACCCCGAGTACTTGGCTGGCTCTGCTGCTGAAGTCGAGCCTGTGATGGAGCCTGCTGAAGTTGCTGCCCAGAACTTTGCTGTTGCTGTTGCTGCTGCTGCTGCTGCTGCTGCTGTTGCGTCTGTGGCTGGCGTGATGCTGCCCCTGAGGGTATCTGCCTGGATGGTGGTAGCTGGGACTGCTGTTGTACTGGAGCTGCCTGCCGGCCTTGCAGCTGTGGCTGTGCCTGGGATTCTGGCTTTGGCTGAGATGCAGCAGGCCCAGAATGGGCCTGTCGGGAGCCCTTCTTGCTGTCAGAGGCATGATGGTATGCTGAAGGAGCACGAGATGGCTGTAAATATTCAGCAGAGCCAGGGTATCCAGGCTGACCCTTCTTTGACATGGCTGGGGCAGAGCTGGGCTGAGGGTGGGGCCGGGCCTCATGCCGACCCAGATCCCGAGCATGTGGTTTGGCAGCACGCCGTCCAGGTTCCTCACCAGCATGGCGACCTGAATGCCTCCCGTGGTCACTGTGGTGCCGGTGTTCCTTGGCTGAGGCATGGCGGCCTGAACCACCCTCATCATGAGGCCACAGACCCTCCTCAGGAGGTTCATCGTAGTCATGGTAGCTGTGCCTGGCAGGGCCTCGCTTCTGGGAGGAGGAGACTGTGTGGCCCCCATGGTGCCTGAACCGATCAGAGCGGGCATCCCGGGGCTTATCAAACCAGTCTGTCTCCTCCTGACCCAGGTGATATGCTTCAGAGACCAAAAACAGAATACCATCAACCCCTGGGCTGGCTGCAGGGGGGGCCTAGCTGAAGCCATGCAAGAAAACCAAAGAGTGGGCAACAAAGCCATAAGCAGGTCACTAGGTCCCCAGACCGCCCTCCCACACCAGGGACCAGGGCGCAGGTGGAACAGGCAAGGGCAATTTGCATCAGGACCCACTGATATGATGCCAAGCCAGCCCCTGCTGGGATATCATAGGGCCCAGGGCCCAACACGGGCAGGCAGGTCCCCCAGATGCTGAGCATCTGCAGAAATCACCCCCAGCCGCCATTACCTTCACTGTCAGAAACCACGCAGTGGGAATCATCCAAGATGTAGCCCTCCTCACGCTTATATGTGTGGGCCCGTGGTCCATCCTTGACATGCTCCTGGACATCAGGCATGGAGTGGCTGGAGCAGAACTGTGGGCAGGTATCCCCAGGAGGGATGGTGCCCCCAGAGGGGCGGGGCCTCCCCAAGGGGCTGACAGGGCTCTCCTCTTCAGAGGCCTGGCTCCGCATGGGGGGCCGTGCCCGGCTGTGGGCCATGCTCAGAGATGAAGGCTTGGGGCCTGTTTTTTGAAGTCGTTCTACAGCCTCCCGTTCCCATTCATACCCCTTGCCTCGGCCACTGAAATCATGGCTGGATAGCTTCTCCCCACTGTATGCAGATGCCACCCGGGACCGACTGCCCCCACCATACATGCGGTCATCCTCCTCTGCTGCATCCCGGCTGGATACCCCATAGTACCTCTGCTGCTCATACACATTCTTCTTGAGCCCATAGGTGATTTCATCTTGGAACTTCCTGCCCCGAGAAGCCACACTGCTGCTGACAGCAGGTGGAGGATAGGAGGCCAGGTCTGACTCTACATCCTTGGCCTCTTCAATAGGTGAGAACTTGGAGATCTTTTGCTCCATGCCCTGCTTCCGGTGCTTGCTGCGCTTTGAGGGGATGGCAGCTGGGGCCAGGCTCTTGGAGGGATGCTTGGGTCCCATGGGCCCTGGACCATACTTCTCTGTTCGAGCTCCATGTCTATAGTCACTGTCACCATAGTAGTGGGAGCTGGTTGGTCGCCCATTGCTCTCCGTGCTCCGGTGATGGCCAACCTTCCCACGGGGATCATATGAGTCCTCCTCAGATTCTTCCTCCCCTCTGCCATAGCAGCAGGGCAGTGTGGGCCCCTCAAGGACCCCTGGTTCTCCAGGTTCCTTCCCAGGACGCCCACTGCTGCCTGGCCCTAAAGGCTCCATCCGCTGGCTATCAGGGGCAGTGGGGGTGCTGTCCTTGGTCAGCTCACTGATGTCATCGATCATCACATAGTTTCTAGGAACGTTTTGCTCCAGATTGGTATAGTGGGAGTCAGAGGGGTAAGTGGGGGCTGGGCTCTGGCTTACAGTGCTACGGTCACTGGTCCGGGGAAGCTCAGGGGCCTTGCCCTGCTCATAGCTGCTGCTCACTACTGGGGCACTGTAGCTGCTTTCAGAAGGGGCTGAAGATATAGCCGCCATGGGGGTGGCAATCACCTCATAGTTGGTGGGTACTTTCTGCTCCAAGTCGGCTAGCGAGGTCTGACGTGGCTTTTGGTGAGGGGCACGGCTGTCAGCTGGAACTGGAAAAAGGGTGCTCTGTGTGGTTGGCATAGGTGTTTGGGCTGCATAGTGGCCTGTGGGGCGGAAAGCCTGCTGGTTTGGCAGGCTAGGCTCAGTTGGGTAACTGGTGCTGGGAGGAAAGGCAGGTACTGGATATGTACTGGGGCCAGGGTAGGTGGGTGCCTGGTGGGCTGGGAATCCATTCTGAGTTGGCCCACTACTGCCTGTAGTGTACTGTGGGGCCGGAGGTGTGAACCGGGGTTGCTGGAAGGCAGTGGGTGCAGAGGGGGTGACAGGTGCAGCAGCAGTGGCAGCAAAGTCCATATACTGGCCAGCAGGGGTTGTACAGCCCTGGAGCCGCAGCTGGTTGAGCTCACTGTCCGACAAGTAGTCACGATGTTCACCAAGGCCACGTAAGGGTGGGTAGTCACGGCCACCCCGGTCTTTAGCCAAAGACTCTTTGCGCTGGGTGATGCCCAGTTCTAGGTACTTGAGCTTGGCATCAATCTCCTTTTCCTCCTCATCCAGCTCTGCCTGCTTCTTGCGCAGCTTGGTGGACTCATGTTCCACCAGCCGCAGGTCCCGGTCCAGCTCCCGGAGCAGGCTGGCTTTTGTAGCAGGGATGGTGGTGGGCCCCGCCAGCCCTCGCTGCAGCAGACTTGCTGCATACAGTTGTGGGGGGGCCTGGCCAGCCAGGGGAAGGTGAGCCTCCTCTGGAGGGGGGCTGGGCAGTGTCCGCTTCACCTTGCGGGCCAGGCCGTTGGGTGGCAGCGCCGACACCTGAGACAGAGGGAAGGGTGGGCAGCACTGAGACCCAAGGTGTGGGTGACTTGGTGGGGCATGGGGTTGAAGGACCCAGGCCTGGGCTAGAGCAGGAGCTGGGCTTTGCACCGTTGGTGACCTGATTTACCAAGAAGCCTCAGGCCTACCCTGCCCACCCACTGGCCTTGGTTTATTTGCCATGGAGGGAAGGTCTGTGATCATTTTATAGTCCTTGTCCTTCCTAGAGCTCTGAGCAGCAGGTGGGTGGAGAGGGACAGATTGCCTTCTGTACTTCGAGAATGCCTGCACATCTCCAGTGGGCTTGCCTCCCACTGAGGTGATGAAAAGACAGGTTTGGCTCTGAGTGTGAGACTGTGCAGCTGGCAGTAGAGGATATGGACAAAAGGAGTGTAGTGGAAGGTCCTGGGCCCACCAGACCTATTCTTGTAGGACAGGATTGTGGGAAGGGGCACATAATAGCTGCATGTCAATTGGTATAGACTCAAGAGTCTTTTTCTACTTCCTGCCCCTCTTCTCTAAAGTAGCATGCTAGTCAGCTGCCTGCCCACCTTCCTCCTCTAGTTTCCCTGCACTACCCTCTGCTAAGCCCTCTGATCTATGCTCTTGGCCCAACCCCCAGCTCCCTCCACACCCCTCCATCAAGTCTGCTGTTCTCTGGGACCACCAGCAAACCTCTCTGGCCTCTCCAGCCTTCTCTCCAGAAGCACGGCTTCCTGCTTAAGGTTCCCTGGCAGTGTCCTCCATGGCACCTGCCCTAGATGCATTACCTGAAAGCCCACATTGATGAACCATTTACCCTGGGTCTTCCCTTTACCTCTAGCTCCTAGCCTTCCTAAATGCTCCACACTTTTGGGTTTCAAAGACCAGCCACGTTCCCAAAATATACTGGGACTGACATTAGGATTCTTACTTTTTACCTTACCAAGTAACTACACAAAAACCTCCCACCAGTGAGGTGCCGGAGGCTCATATCTGTAATCCTAGCTACTTGGAAGGAGATAAAGGAGGATCACGGTTCTAGTCCAGCCCAGGCAAATAGTTCATGAGAGCCCATCTTCAAAAATAACCAGAGCAAAGTGGGCTAGAGGTGTGATGAGCATGAAGCCGAGTTTAAACCCCAGTCCCACCAAAAAATAAACAAAAACAAAAACAAATCCCTCCCATTACCAGGTGCCTGTTGCTTATACCTGTAATCCTGGCTACTCAGAAGGGAGACATCAGGAGGATCATGGTTTGAAGCCAGCCTCGGAAAATAGTTTGTATGATCCTATATCTTGAAAACACCCTTCACAAAAAAGGGTTGGTGGAGTGGTTCAAGGTATAGGCCCTGAGTTCAAACCCCAGTACCACACATACACACAAAAACCCCTCCCATCTGCTTTTACCATATGTCATAAAGAAAATGATGGCATGCCCCCAAATCTCACAACAAAAGTAGGCCTTTTATGGAATATATTTAGCTTTTTGAACTCCTCACTCTGTCTTATCTATCTTGTCTTATTTTGGTCACACCCATGAGTACCCATCACAGCCTCTGGAACCTGTACACCTGAAGACAGAGACACCAGCCTCCCTGACCTGCCCTCCCTGCACACCCAGACCTCCTGATCACATCCATATCCCTACCTGCACATACCAGGGCCTGTACGTACCAGGGTTCTTAACTACTCACCTCCACAACCATCACTTCCACAACCCCACCCTGAGGCTCCATTTTTCTCTTCTCTGTATCATCCACAGAAAATGGGAAAATATACTTCACAATGCCTCTGGCTCCTACCTCCTCTCCCCAGAGTCTCTTCCTTTAGCCCAGTTAGCCCACCTTGTGCCCTGGAAACTAAAATACCCATTTTGTCCTGTCTCACCTGCCTAGAATTTCCAGAGGCTTTCAGAGCCTTCCTGAAAAGCCCACCTCCTCAGCTTGGAACTCAAAGTCCTTGGCATTAGGTTCTCACAGCTCCATTCACTCCCTGCCACTACAGCTCATGATCAGTACATCACTGGCAAGTAAAACCACAGACATGGAGCTTCTGTCTAGGGTAGAAGAAAGGTATGTAAGCAGAGTTAATGAAGTGCACTTAGAGGCAGGGAATATGATGAGGCAGAGAGCACACTGTGCCTTCTGCAGTGGAACTCAAGAGCTAGGCCACGGGTTTTGGGCTTGCTCTGGGATAATGGAAGCCCAGATATGCCTGGGAAGTTAGGAGTAGCCCAGCCAGAACCATGTTACTAATTTCTCAGGAAATCATCCAAAAATAAGGATTGGAGTGAAAAGTGCCCAGACTGGAGATGAGGGCTAAAGAAGCCTGAAAAGAGAGGGGCAGGACTGGACTAGGTAGGAGTGGTAAAGGGACAGCGGGAGGAGAGAGGCTAAAGTTTCTAGTGGGGTGCCTGGATGGATGGCTGTGGGGACCCATGTGTGTCCATGTATGTTTGCCCTTGTCAGGCTGTGGGCTCTATCAGATGTGCATCAAGGAGGCCTATTACTGGACTCCTTCCCCTGGGCCTTTGGAGCAAGAAATGACTCCTTTTCCACCCCAGGAGAAACCCCTCCCTCTCGGGCCCCCAGGCTAGGCAGAGACCCCTGTCCCACCCTGGACCAGCCCCTGTGCCCATACCTGGCTACCCAGTCCCCCCTGGTGCTGGTAGAGGGAGAATCTCTCTTTGGCAGATTCCTCGGCGGTGGGGCTGAGGGGTTTAGGGTCAGACAAGGATCGCTGCAGGGTCTTCATGGGGCGAGGCAGTGTCTGCTGGCGGAAAGCGCTGTCAGCCGTGAAGTGCTTCTGGGGACTCACGTGAGCCTTGTTCAGCCTCTCACTGGAGGCAAAGGAGGTGTCCAGGAGCCGATGTGGGGACAGGGGTGAAACTGGTGAGTAGAGGACCTGGGGGGACTTGGGAGGCTGGCGGCTTACAAGCTGTGAGAGGGACTCTGGGGGCAGGTGGGCCTGGTACCCAATCTCCAAAGGATCTGGCTTCTTTTTTTCAAATCTGCCCAGGGATCCTGGGGTGATGATCTGGATGCCAGGCAGGTAGGGGCTGATGGCAGTTGGCCCTACAAGCTGTGGCCCAGCAACACCCTGGGCCTGCCCATCTGGCTCTGTCTGGCAGGCTAGGCTCTCCCCATGCCCAGTCTTCTCTGGCGCCGAGATGTACCTGATGATCTCTACCTTGGGGTCAGTGGCAGCCGTGATGTGAATGGCTGGAGAGACCCTGGGCAGCTGGTCAGGCTCTGTCTGCACAGAGCAATCACTGATGGTCTGAATGCCCACACTGCTCATGGCCCTTACTGTGGTGGAGGCAGTGGATGTTGAGGCAGTGGTATCGTGCTTGCTGTCAGAACCTGAGTCTGAGTGACGGGAAAGACGGGACCTGCGGCGGCGTACAGGTTGCTCCCACTCAACATTGTCCTCATCATCTGTCTGCACACTGCAGTCAGTACTCCGACGTGTCCGGCGTCTCCTGGTCAGAAGGTAGCGGCCTTCCCCATCCTCATCGTCTGTCTGCACGCTGCTGTCTGCAATCCTCCTGACCATGCAGGGCTCAGGCCCTGACTCTGTTTCACAGGCATCCCTCAAGCGTGGCATGGAGTGTCGCTTCTTGATGCCACTGCGGCCTGCTTCCCACTGCTCCTCAGTCTGCAGAGACATGTCTGAAGCAGAGCTGGGGAGCCCCCGGTGCACTACAGGCTCACGAGACTGCCCAGGCCCCTCAGTCCCTGCCACAGCAATGAAAGCTGTGTGAGTCAGGGGTGGCCAGTACTGGCCATTCTGGGCCAGCTCAGTAGCAGCTGAGGGAGGCCCTCGGCCAGCTGCCTCACAGGCTGCAGGGAAGGGTGCTTTTTGCCGCTGCTTCTGTTCTTCTAGCTGCTGCTGCAACTGCTGCTGCAGCTGCTGGATCTGCTCCAGCTGCAGACGCTGCTGTGCCAGCTGCTCCCGCTGCAGTGCAAACTGAGCCTGGCGTTCTTCTTGCTGCTGCTGCAGCACATGGTGCTTAATGGTTTGCAGCTCCTGCAACTCCCGCTGAACCAGCAACTGCTCTTCTTCACGGTGCCTCTGCAGCTCCACCCTCTCCCGCTCCAGCTCCTCCTGCAGCCGCAGTTGTCGCAGCTTCTCCAATTCTACTCGTTCCCGCTCCAGTTGTAGCAGCTGCTCCTGTTGCTTCCGCTGACGATCCTCCTGAGATGCTTCCTCCTTCTCGAGCCCAGTCCGGCTGAGGCTGCCACCCCCAGCTGCAGAATCTCCTGGTGGCTTCTGGCCAGTGGGTGGAGCAGGGGTAGGGGCAACTGCAGCCTCCTTGGTGGTAGCAGGGGCAGCTGTGGAAAGAGGTTCTTCCCGTGCAGCCCCTGCTGGCAGTTCTGGTTTTGGTGGGCCGCCTGTTGCTGGGGCCTTGGCGGCAGCAGGTTTTCCCAAGTAGACAGGTCCCTCAGCAGGTGGGACACTAGAAGCAATGGGGAATCTACTTGGTGCAGGATATCGGTATAGCCCTGTGGGCCCAAGAGGTACCCGAGGGGCAATCATGGGCACACGTGTCAGGCTAGTGAGTGGCACAGCTGTAACTCCACCAGATAAGTAAGGCCTATACATGCCACTGCGCACCATGGGCCTCAATACTGAGGCAGGTTGGGTGGTGATGGGCAGGGTTGCAGCAATTGGAGTGTTGATAGTCGAGTAGATCATGCCATCAGCTGCACGCACAGTGGCTGTGGATGGCAGCAGCTGTCTGACTGCTGTTCCCTGGCCTGCTGCAGGTACATACTGGGCTAGGCTTCCAGGGCTCGGGTGGCCCTCTGGGAAGGTGGGGTTGCCAAGGAGGCCAGGTCTTAGGGGAGCCAGACCCTGTGGAACACTGAGCCCAGACCCATGCTGCGGTTGGAACTGCACAAGGTCAGGGCCACTGCCACCACTGCCATGCCGCCCTCCATACTGGTCCATGGAGTTGAGGGCAGCACACATGCGGCTGATCTCTCGGGCAGTGGTGGCACTGTACTGGGCCAGGCTGGCCTCCTGAAAGCCAACTGTATCTCCCCGTGGGCCATACCTGTGATCTGAGTAGATGTTAGACACTGAGCTATAGCGCCGCATGGGAAGTGGGTGAGTCAAAAGATCTGTGGGATGACGCAGGTCTGTAAACGAGCCATATTGTAAGCCTTGCCCTAGATAACGTCCATCTGCAAAGCCCAGGCTGTAGGAGTGTTTTAGTGAGCTGAGGTCCATAGCTGAGTCTCGTCCAGGACCCTGGAACAGCTGCCCAATCCTGTGGGCGTGGTAGTTGAGGCCAGCCTCAGCCAAATTGGTGTCAGACATGGAAGAGTACAGTCTACCAGGTAGGCCCTGTGGATAGGGCCTCTGCTCTTCATGAGGCGCAGGCCCTACTAACCCCTGTGCACGGTAGGTAGAGGGCTCAGGGGGCTCAGAGTCCCGGGGACTATAGAAGGGGCCACTGCTTTGGCCAGGTGGGGCAGCATCTGCTACACTCTTTTCAGGTGCACTGGGGGTGGGGTGGAAGGTGCCAGTGCAGCTACTGCCAAAGGGAAACTTGTAGACCATGTCACAGCATGCCAGTTGGCTCTCAGGCCTCACCCCAGTGAGGTCCAGGGCACTCACTGGTTCCTCTGGGAGCAGTGTAGTCACAGTGCCTGCTGTGCCTTCTCCCATCTGCACCACCACTGTGTGTGGCTTCCTGGAACCTGGCAGAGCATGTGACCGCAGCTCTGCAGGCATGGCCCGGTGTAGTTCGGCACCAGGTTCTGGTACTGGTCCTGGCTTGAGGCTAACACTCTGGGTGGTGCCCATCTGAGTGATCAAAACATCCCTTCTGGCCAGGGGTGCTACCTGATTGGGCAGATTATACCTGGAAAACTTGGCTTCCCTGGGTCTTCCTCGGGACCCACCTCGGTATGGGGTAGTCTGCACGGCCTGTTCTACTTGCTTGACCTGGGCCAGGCACACAGGGCTACCTGAACCCTGGCCAAAGTCAAGCCGGCTCTGGAAGGGGTCTCCATAGACCACAGGTTGCTTTTGTTGAGCCATGAGCACAGACGAGGCCATGGTGATGCTCACGGTGGTGGCAGTACCCAAGAAGGCATGGGTTTGCTCTTGGGCATTAAGGTTGATAACCAAAGGTTGCACAGCAGTTGACTGCCGTCCTGGGATTGGATCCAGAGCAAGGCCATACTTCCTTGCTTCCACAGCAAGAGAGGTCAGATCCATACCCTGGTCAGTGAGGATGATAGGCGTGGGCTTGACAGCTGTGCGGAGGTCTACCACTGCACTGCCAGGGAGCCTGGGGCCTGGCTCAACTCTAGATGTTCCAGGGACAGAGGAGATCCGGCATAGGGAGATGTTTTCAGCAGGAAGAGTACCCCAGCCGTATAGTGCCAGGGGCCCATCTGCACCAGCACTGGGTGCTCGTGGGAAGCCAGGTGGCCCAGGTGGCTCTGGGGGCATCTGAGACACATTTGGAGGTGTTGTTTGGCTGTAGCTGTGAGTGGTGGCTTGGGTGTCTGTAGGTGAGCATAGTGGGGAGGTGGAGGCACTGGCATGTACCATCCTGGTCTGGCTGGAGGCATCTGATGCTAATGTAATGACCATAAAGGGAGCCTCCTGAGAAGACTGCTGCCACACAAGGCGAGGTGTGCTGGGTCGGTGTGGTGTTTGTGTGCCTTGGGCTACCATGGGAGTGGGGGTGGGGGCACCAGGACTCCGTGGCATGTCCAAGGCAGGGGTTGGGCTTGGCGTCTGTGTAGAGAACTCTGCTGTGGCCCTTGGACCCAGTTTACCTGGGGAGAATGTGGGGCTCTCTGAGGGGGAAGATGGGGAGAGAGGTGGGCTGGAGCCTACAAAGTAAGAATATCCCCGGGAAGGTTGGGAAGGGCCAGCCTCACTGTCAGTCCCACTCAGGGACTTCTCTCTAGTGGCCCGTCTGCCTGCAGAAGGCCCACCAGGAGCCTGGAGTATCTCCTCAGTTTGGGATCCATAGTTTGCGGTGGTTGGGCTCTGTCCATAGCTGTGGACTGTGGAAGATGGTGAAGGACTGCGCTCAGAGCAGGTTGGGGAGGTCAAAGTCATATACCCTCGTGGCAGGCTTGCTGGACAAGGAGCCCCAGATGTGGTGACTGGGGTCCCAGGGCCCTGGGAGAAGGACACGCCTACCTCCTTGGAAGCCAAGCTGGGGGAGGCAGGAGAGCTATGCAGCTTGAGGGGGTCCTGATGCTCTTTTGCAAAATGCTGAGTGACACAGACATCAGGAACTACTCGGCCCCCAATGCTGTCTAACGAGGTGGAAGTAGAGAAAGACACGGGGGCAGCTAGCTGGGTGGGACTGGTACCAGGGGTGAGTGGGCCACCATTTTGCTTCATTGGGTCCATGTATGCACTCTCGGCATTCAGAAACTGCTTCTCCTTTTTCTTGTCCTCGGTAAAGGCCAGGTCTCGTGAGGAGACCTGCCGCATGCGGGCTATGCTCTGTGATGTCTGAAGGATCTCCTCATACACGGTTACTCCCAGGCCAGCAGGTGTGCTCTCTGGGGCAGATTGAGCAACCCTGCCATAGTCATGGTCTGGGGTGTCTTGGTATTCAAAGGAGCCCTGGCCCTGGGGGCCTGTGGGCTGAGAGGAGGCACCATGGGGCCCTTGGGCCCCTGAGACCTGGCCCTGTTGCCGCTGGAGCAGCTCAGCTTTTCTCATCATCTCCTCATAGGCCTCCTCAGCGCTCTTGAGGGGCCGTCCAGAACTGGGAGTGGCAGAGCTGCCTGAGGGCATCTCAGTTGGAGAGTAGAGGGACATGAAGGTGGGCAGGTTGTATTCACTGCCTGACTTGTAGAGCCGGGTGGGACCTCCATCTAGAGCTTCAGCCTCTGAGTCAAGGGAGGGTGAGGGTGAGTACTCAGAGCAGGAGGAGCGGTGTAGCTCCTCCATCTCTGCTGCCTGCCTCAGCTCCTCTGTGGGTGATGCGTCCTCGATGGGTGATAAATTACTGGGTGGTGTCTTAGAGCGCTCACGCCGCCGCTGGGCCCGCAGCTCTTCCTTGTCACGCCGGGTCTTTCGGGCTGTGCTACGGATACGCTGCTGTTCCACCTCACGCATCTTCTCCTGCTCCCTCAGCAGCTCTTCTTCTTCTCGCATCTCTTCTTCCTCTGAGGAGTCCTCGATGGTGGGGAGCAAGGGTCCATGGGAGCGGTGCCGGGCCTTGCGCTGCTGTTTTGCTTCTTCTAGCCGTTGTCGGCGGCTTGGGCTACTGTCACTGTCCTCCTCTAGGGAAGACAGGGAGGTGGGTGAGGTGCCCGACGTGTAGCTGGGTGTGGAGGCAGGCAGTGTGGAGGAGTGCTCCCCACGGGAGCGGTCCTCAGGCGAGCCTGTTAGGCTCTCCATCTCCAGCTCAGGCTCCCGGTCCAGGCTGGTGTCGGGGCCTTGGCCTAGGTCTAGCTCATGGCTGTAGCTGCCTGTGCTGTTGAGCTCAATGGTCTTGAAGCGGCGGAGCCCACCCTGCAGGGCTCCACTGCCATCAGTGGCCTCTGCTGGGCCTCCCTCAGAGAGCAACTCCTCATAGCCCGTGGTAGCATTGTGGGGCAAGCGCCTCTTGGGCAGTGCTACTGGTTCTTGGCTAGATTCAGGTCCAGGCCTTGTGCTGCCCTTCTGGGTGCCATGCTTGGCCAGGCCATGCCTGGAGATGGCAATATTGTCCTCCTCCAGGTTGTCTTCCTCAGCACTCATCTCTAGAATCTGCCTTCGCATGAACTCTTCATCAGTAATTTCTGCTGCCCGGATTGGGATCTGGGGTGGAAGAGGGGACAGGCCACCTTCACTGCTGTCTTCCACATAGTCATGCCTCAGCTGGCTGCCAAAGTCATCTGAGGACTCAGCTGCGTCCTGCTGTTCCTTCTGGTGCCTCCACTCTAGAGACTCTTCCTCTTCTTCCAATATGTCTCCCAGTTCCTCATCAGAATCAAAGGCCTCAGGCATGATGGACAAGGAGTGGGGCCGCCGCTTTTGCTCCTCACCATGTGGCTTGCTCCTCTCACCACTGGGAGCCACAGCCTGTGTCTCCAGCAAAGGCTGCATGCTGCTCCCCACCTTGTGGAGTTCTGAGGGGCTAGGAGGGCGTGGCCCCGTCACTCCTGCATTATCAAGCTGCTCCACCTCCTGCTGCACAACACCTGTAATCTCACTCTGGGAGCTAGAGACCCCGTCGGAGGAATAACCTGTGTCGCTGAGACTCTGTGGACTCCGAGACAGGTCCTGAGAGTAAGGCTTGCCAACTGGTTCCTGCAGCAGGGTGAGAAGCAGATGCTGACTCCCAGCCTTCCCTGTCAATCCCAGGGCCCTGGGGAAGGGTACCTCCACCTACCAAGGGTTTAAAGTCTACAATCTACCCCAGTTCTCTGACCTTGAAAAACTTAAAGGTTCTATGGCAAGCCCCAAGCAGCTCTAGATCTTTATAGAAAAACTATAGAGAAATTAGATCAGAAAATGTCAAAACCAAAGTGCCAGACTCAGAACCAGTCTCAATCTCAGAGTCTTCAGGCCTGACCAAGCCTCCTCTAGGCTTTCTTCTGCTGGGGTGTCCCTTACTTTCTTTGTGGCCCTCAAGGGGTCTGTTCCAGTCTTATATCCTCAGCCCTCTAGGGAGGAAAGCCCTTCCCCAGACTGTCTCATTTGAAAGCTAGGATCCCTGGGAAATAAACAGAACTGACCTCAGCCTTCCCACCCTTGGGGGCTTCTGGAACAGCCTTGATGACAGGTGTGGCAGGTTCAGTCCTTCTCACCCCACTCTTTACTTTACAAGTTCCAGGGGGCAGGGTAGTCTCTGAAGGGGGCTTTGGCACAGGCTCAACTTTAGAAGGAATTCCTGTCTTCTTTTCCTGGGCACTGCTTGAGGTCTTGCTGGGTTCAGAAGCCCTGAGGGGCTTGGTCTGGGGGCTGGTCTTGGTGGGCTGGGGGCTGGCCTTGGTAGGCTGGGGACTGGTCTTGGCAGGGAGGGGGCCTGATGGCTGGCCCAGTCCCTGTGGCCCTTTCTGCTTCAGGGAGGCTATTCCAGCTGCATGGTGAGAGGTCCCTGCAGGGGGCTGCTGTGAGGTGGGCAGTGGCAGGGGGGTTGGCTCTCCTAGGCCGCCCTCCAAAAGCCGCTTAGTTTGGCAGTTCAGACAGAGCCACTCTGTTTTCTGCAAAGAAACAGGAGAGAGGTTGATGAAAATCACAAAGATACACAAAGAATATTTCCACGACTATTTCTGTAACCTTAGAGAGGAGAAAGTCTTTCAAAGCGGGACACCAAAAGAATGACTAATAGTTATTGCCCCCAAATGATAAACTTCTCTATCCTCAAGAGAAACACATACAAAGTCAAAATGCAAATGACAAACCAAAAAGGTTCTCTTCCTTAACCCATAGAGAAATTTTCACTGGGTCAGAGAAGGAAGACAACTGTGGGGGATGGAAGACCACAAACAGCACAAGGGTCTGAGCCCAACCACAAAGAGAAGCTAGAGTCCATCCTCAAAGCAAACATCTCCTTGAGGGCTGATATGGAGTTCACCATTCGAGAGCTCCTCTAGAATAGGAATGGCTTCCAGACATGAAGCAGAATGTATTCTAGAAGCATACCCTTTCTCTGACTCCTAGCTCTTGGGTCTGACACTATCTCTCTACACCTTTCCCCAAGTAAGGGGTTTGTTTACTAGGCAGAGGCAGACACCTGGGACCAGGAAAGGCTATCTGAGAGAAGCTTTATTTGGTGTGGGGCTATATGGTCCTCTTTGTTCACACTGCCAGCCCAAGTCACCTTGTCTAAGGCCAGCAAAGAACTCCAGGCAAAGGCCTCCTCCTGCCCCCAGAATTCTGTACTATCTCTCGGATGGGGACTGCATGTAGTAGCCCTTGGGCCAACAGCTCTGCTTCCGGAACTGAGCTGGGATCAATTCTTTTTTAAAAACTTTTAAATTTTTTATTAGCATATAATAGTTGTACAGGAGATAAATTGTGATATTTACATATGTTCTCACAATATATCTTAGATATACCCTCTCCACTGATCTCCATTTCTCTCTCCTCCCCTGGAATCAATTCTTAACTACCAGCCACCACTCTCAGGATCATCTACTGTTTTAGGCCCAAGGCTAAGGGCTGTAGACACAGTTATGACTAAGATGGACAGACAGAAAGGGACTGGCATATAGCCTTCCTGGAATCCACAGCCCCAAATAAGTCACTACAAGTATCACACAGGTATCAATGGTGAAGCCCTCAGAACACCAAAAGTAAGTCTAAGTTCTCCAACCCTAGCATAGGGGTGGGGTTTAGGCATCCCTGGACCCTGAGTAGGTGGTTCCTGCAGCAAGTCTTCTTCAGGGTCAAGATATGAGGTCCTGCCCTGGCCCACAGTGGGTGGTGAGGAACAAGGGTAGCAACACAGTTCAGAGCAGAAGGCTCCACTGATTGCTTTCTGCTCTCCCCCTTGGATACAAAAGCTTGGTACTCCCTCCTTCCTGCTATTGCTTATCCTGGGTTCCTAGACACTCAGGCTCCCACCAGCAACTGTGCCACTAAGATGGACCATTATGAGAACCACAGGGTCATAGAGCAGGGCCCAGGGAAGGGAGGTAGCACTTGGCCGTTGCCCTGGGCAGGCCAACGGCCTCAGCATGTTCACCTCAAATACTGTCTCTGGGCCTAAGCCAGACCCTAGACCATGTGGCAGGGCCTTGGAAGCCTGGTACCTCAGGGTACCTACCCTTACTTTGGCATGCTCAGGCTACCATAATGCCATGTCAATGATTCTGCCCTAGTTTGTTGCCCACAGAGCTACTACATTCCACATTCATGCCCTCAGTTTCAGAAGAGGCCCAGGTGGGCAGGAGGCTGGGTCTTGGAGTGTGTGGAGGGATAGGCCTGCTCCATGGGCTTGTTAGTCAGAGTGGAGACTGTTTCCCTGCAGCCCAACAATGTGCAGAGGGAGGGGGACACTTCAGAGGGCTTACATGTACTTACCCTGTTTCCTGCAGGCCTTAGCCCTAGCACCACCCTGACATCCTTGAACATTATCTTATGCTCTAGGTGTCCCCCTCACAAACTCCTGTGAGGCAGTAAGTGCTGGCCACTGGCTGGGTCTTGGGCTAAGTTGGCCAGACAGGGTCCATCCCAGAGATGCCTAAGGAGAGTGCTGGACAGGGTGAGACCCAGCCATGAGATGGACAGGGAATGGGAGAGCACAAAGCCTGATTCAGAAATCCTGCCCATATGTTCCAACATTACCTGAGAAAACAATGGAAATCCTCCTGTCAGAGAGGACTATGAGATGGCCAAAAGATACTGGGGAGATGGGAGGGTTATAGGCAGAGGCCAAAAGAGAGTTCTGGAAATGAGCAAATAGCCCCTTCCTTGGCTCCAGGATCAACATGATGAGGTTAGGATTTGAGCCCAGACAGGGTGGCTCAAGGCAATGCTGTCCTAACTCTACCTTGGGTCCCTACCCAAATTAATCCTACAATAAGCCTTTCAAAGTTGCATCATCTGCTGTGTTCCACCTTGATGGCTTGCCAAACCCCTGACTCTACTTCTGGTCTGCATACCCCACCCCAGAAGCAACAGTTTAAATGAAGGGCATCTTGGAAGGTGAGGATGAAGGAGACAGACTCAGTGCCAAAAGTGCAGGGTTGATCCCTGCAGAGGCTTGCTTACCTGAACCCAGGGAGGTAGCCCACAGCAGGTCATGTCACGTACAGTCACATGCTCCCTGGGGCTTTGCTCCTTCACAGGCTTATTCATGGAGGCAGCCAGGCTGCTGAAAGGCTGCTTGATGTTTTTCTTGCTCCTGGCTCTGCTATATCAAGCAGTAATAAAGGGAGGGAGGTATGTGAAGTAAGAGCTAAAAATAAACACTTGACCTGGCTGCTGGAGGCCCTTCTCCAGCAATCTGGGAGTGGGAGGAGAAGTGTACAAGCAACTGGAGCTGACGGGAGTCCTGGCCCAGGCCCAGGTCTTCTGGGGACTAGGAATGAGTGGAAGGCAGGTCACATCAAATGTCTGTGCCTGGGGGCTGGAACACAGTTGCTGAAATTTCTTAGGTCAGTCTACTCTCATCTACCTCTACTCCAACATGTCCTCCACCTCCACTCTGATCATTCATTCCCCTGTTCTTCATTCATTCATTCCTTCACTTTAGCATTTATTTCCTTACTCTTCATTCATTCATTGCACATTCTCTCATGTATCTTCCTCACTGATCCAGCCAGCCCCAGCCCTAGGGCAACTGCTGCCTTCTGCTCCTTTTCTTGGTCCCCTCAGAAAGTGGACAAAGAACAGACAATGGCAAGATGCTGATAACAACTTCTGCCTCATCTCCTTCTGTCCAGTCCTTTCTGGGGACAGTCATCACCTCAAGGTGGGCAATGTAGGTGTGCATGCATCACATGGAGCTTGGTGGTTCAGGCTATCATTTTTAGGATGAGGAAGTGGAAGTGAGTTGAGTATGAGAACTGCTGCTTTCTGAACCACCAGCTTGGAGCTCCAGTGGTGCAATTGGTTAGCGCATGGTACTTACATGAACCGCTGGCTAGTGTGCCTTGTGGGTACAGGGAGGCCAGTAGGGCTGTGCTGGATGATGGGTATTCTCCCTGCACTGCTTGCCCTTGTGTGAATGAGCCTGAAGCTCACAAGTCTCTTTATTTGTGGAATTGGCCTTTGTGCCAGTCTGATTATGGTGACACCATCCCCATCCATACCCCATGGCCAGCTACCATGCTCTATACTCCACCTCACTGCCAGAAAGGGCAATAAATAAGAACACCAGAGAAAAGGATACCCAGAGGTAAAGACTCAGACACTGGGTTACAGGACTGGCCATCCTGATGCTATTGGTCCTCTCCTGACTTTGTCCATGGACATATGTCCATGCCCCCCCCCATCCCTGGACATGCCTAAGCTCCTCCTTTCTGGACCTCTGCCTCCCATAAGAGGAATCCTCTCTGGTATCTCTAATGCATGCCCTTATGGCTGGGCTGTGTTTCCCCTCATACTCCAACACTAAATGTGTTTATTATTGTATGATGTTCTTCATGAGACCAAGAGCTTTCACTGGCCACAGTGTCCATTCACACCCAGATTGTGAGGAGCTTGTTGAGATTCTTCCTTTCCCTCATAGACACTCTCTTTCAGGACCTTTGGTTCCAATCTCCTGGCTCCAGGGCTCACTGTCAGGCCTTGCATAAGCATCTGTGGTGCAGCATCTCACCTGGTTCTCATAGAAACCTAACAGCAGTATTATTGCCTCCATTCCATATGGGAGGAGACGGGGCTCCCTCATGTTACCACCCCAAAGTCAGCCTGAGACAAATCAGGAGCAGAGGCACCTACTAGCCTCACATCCCTGCCTCTACTATAGTCTCTGCTCATATGCCCAGCCTAGCCCCACATATTAGAGGTGCCAGGCCCTTTGCCCAGGGAGGCCTGGCTTCTCAAGGGCACAACTAGAATTTTGGCAATGATAATAATGTAAGAAACTGGCAATGTTATTGTAATAATTCTAATTTTACTAATTTCTCCACACTATTTTGAACTGAAAGTCAATTAAAAGTTAAGCCAGGGGGTACTATTATCCTTCAAAACAGATAAATAAGTTAAAAAAAAGTTGGAATCAATAACTCTTAATTATGAAATGACTCACTAAATACACTATGGTTATTTTTTCAGAGGATGATTCAAAGAAAAAAAGGATCCAATTTTATCGCTTCTTCTATTATATTCTCTGGACTCCCTATCTAGAAAGAAGAAAAAAGATGTTTGCAGCTGGAGAGGTTAGGGGAAAATTGCCAATATGTTGGCCAAGACAGTTGACTCTGACCTCAGGCAAGGCATCCACTGTGAATGGGGATCCCCTGGCCGATCCCTCCCTCAGCCCCAAGCCTACATACAGACACTGGTCTCTCTGCCTCACATGTGCTCAGAGACATAGCTCAGTCACTCTGAGTCTGGCAGGCTGGCCTTGGCCAAGCAAGGAATGGAGAGAGACAGCTGCAGCAGTCCAACTTGCAGGACCTTGAAAAGAAGCTGATCCTGTCATCTGCTACCCCGCCACCTCACTCTCAAGGCAGGATGAATGTCTCCGCACCTGGTAAAGAAGCCTCTAACCAAGAACATACAAAGTAGGTCATAGGAAAGTACAGATTTGCTCAGAACTCCAAGTGACCATTCACTGAGGTGAGATCAAAGACAGTCCATAGCCTGTCTAAGGGCTTATGTGAGGAAAAATAATGCTGGAGGGGAGGAACAGATGTCACACCAAGCAGTAGCCCCTCTCCACCAGCCACTTCCAAGACCCAAGGCAGATGAAGCTGCAAAAAGGTTTTGGTCATTGCATAAGTAGAGAAGAACAAGGAAGGAAGGACTAGGGATATGGCTGAGGGGAGGAGAACAGCTAGATTCTTGTGACAGTAGGAGGTTGAGCTAGCAGGGTTTGGTCTGTTGAGTAGGCACTGAAATAAGGAGTTCAGGATGACTACAGGCTGCTAGCTTGCATCTCTTATGGCTCTGACTGCCATTAGGAGCAGCAGGAAGGATAGAAGAGAGCTTGATTTGAGGAGAAGCTAGGACCAAGTCCCCATTAGCTTTGCTTTTAGACCCCTGGAACTCATCAGATCCCTTGGAGGCAAGCACAGTCCTGACCAAAGTGGTAGCAGTGAGGCAGGACATTGAGACAGTAGGACATGGTGGGAGGTGGGGCAAAGGGTAATGCTGATCATCTAGAGGCAGAAGATCCAGAGCCCAGGAAGTTCAGAACCAAGCAGCTTATGAGAAGTCTAAATCAGAATTCAGATACCTCACATGGAGTCACCACGTGACAGAAACACTTTTGTTTGGGCTGATCCAGCACTTCCTACAGCCTGGCCTGGAGGCTGCCAAAAGGGAGCTGTCAGGAACACTTATGCTCCTGGTCAGTTTTTCTACCCCTCTATACACATTCTGCTTAATGAGAAATGTAGGCTGAGAGGTCTCTCAGGGACAACAGTTCTCCAGGCTAGGCCAGTTCAGGAGTCCACTAGGACTCACAGTCCCTCAGTGTCAGGGCACTCCACCCAACCAGCAGTTAGCTTGTGTCTACAGGTATCTGGGCAAAGCAGCCAGCTGGAGCTCCCCTTGATGACCCCTTTATCTCCACTGCTGACCAGGCAGGCTGACCTCCACGGATTCATGAGCCTAGAGCTAGGGGAAATGGCAGTGTGAGATCTGGAGAGCAACATGGGTATCACATGAAGAGGTCCATTCATAGGGCTGGGAGTGTAGCTCAAATCGTAGAGCCCCTACATGTTGGAAAGTATGGCCTTGTGGTAGCCAAGGTAGTCTTCCTAGTCATATTGGGTAGTTTCCCATGGAACTTCCCAAGAGAAGTCAGAACAAGGTGGTATAGAGACTACGACAACACCATGCTCTCTCTCCTCTCTTGTCCCATACTGGGCCAGTGGTGGTTTACACTCTCTACTCTCAGCCCAAGAGCCCAGAGAGCTTAGGTGGTTGCCCAGATGCAGGAAGCAAGGGCCTTGTCTCAACCATTTCCTGACATGACACACATCCACCCAACCATAAACCCCAAGGGGACATGCTCAGCTATGCCAAAGATAGCCATGGTGAGGTTCATATGGATGGCCTTGGGTAAGGGAGAAAAGGTTAGGACAGAAACAGAAGTACTCTAAAGGTTCAGGTTGGTCGAGTTCTACCTGGGTACCTTCACCCTTTTAGGCTTTCCAGGTTGGACTCCAAGTTTCACAAGAACACTGGGCCTCTTTTTCCCTTTTACTTGGCTCTGCACAGTTCACAGTACCATGCCCTGGAGCAGGGACTATGGAGCCTCTAACCCTTGCTCTCCCTTAAACTTTCCTATGGATTAGAAGAGCATCTTTGCCAGGTGCTGGTGGCTCACACCTATAATCTTAGCTACTCAGGAGGCAGATATCAGGAGGATCATGGTTCAAACCCAGCCTGGGCAAATAGTTTGCAAGACCCTATCATGAAAAAAACCATCACCAAAAAGGGATGGTAGAGTGCTCAAGGTGTAGGCCCTAGAGGTTTTGGTCCCATTTCCTGTGTGGGGAACAGAAAATATCTCTTTTTCTCTCCCCCCTGACCCTGTTGTTCTCACTCTAGAGACAACCCGCTTTCTGTATGTTGAAGGCATATTCCTCTCCTAATAAACTTTACTCTTATTTTCACTGGGAAAAAAAAAGGTATAGGCCCTGAGTTCAAATTCCAGTACTGCCAAAAAAAAAAAAAAGGAAGGGCACCTCTAAGCATCCTTATAAGCAGATCCTAGGTAGGAGGACCCAGGTCCAACTAGGGGAAAATATATGGACCAAAGGCTATGGCTTTGATAAGTAGATATCCATACCCATGACCTCAGAGGAGAGGATTGAGAATAGATACTAGCTGGCTGGGCTGGAGACTAAGCAGTGAGACATAGTCCACCTCACTGTGAGAAAGCCTCCAACTTCTGCCTGGGCACAGGGCACAACCTCTACCCCATGATCCTTCAACCCCCACCCTGCCCCCCACTGCAAGGGTCACAGATCAAGAGTAGGATGAGACTTCAGGTTCTTTTTACCTAATCAGAGGAGTTGGCCTGCTTATGGAAATGGAAAGGCCAGATCAAGACCTCCCAAGCCTGGAACAAGCCTCAGGCACTGATCAGTCATTCAGAGGCAGAAGGTACCATTACCCCTACCCAGTGTGCCAATTAATTCTCTGCATGGAAGGACTGGAACCTGAGGCAGGGGCAGGAAAGGGTATGC